GGGGGGGGGGGGGGGCTGTACCCCCTCCATCCGTCCATGGTTGTAGGTCGTTGCGTGTGGTGTCCCACTTAGAGCATTACTGCAAGCAGTTCTTGTACGAATCAGGTGGCATTGCCCGTATCTTGGTTGTTCATGTTCGTGTTTCTTGTGCTAGGTACCATTGCCTTGAAAGAGAGTCAATTTTTCTACGAAAAGTTCAATAACTACTTATTGCATTACACTCCAAAATACTAATAGCTTAAGAAAATCAAAAAGTTGTGGAAGGATACATTTTTTAAGCTATAGAAACTAATAGCTTAATAAATCTTTAGTATTTTACAAACAACATAACTCTCAGATTATTCACTCATCTGACAAATAGAAAATGGTAGGCTCCTTAGGCTCAGTGATCTCAACAGTCCCCTCTATCATCTTAGCCACTTTCCCCATGGATGGCCTCATGTCTGGTCTATCTTGAAGGCACCACATTGCAGTCTTCACCATCCTATTTATCATATCAAAATGCTCTTTGCTGTCATAATTGTGCTTGATCCGATGATCCAATATGTCTTCCACATTCATCTCCTTGAAAACTTTATCAAAAGCCCACCTTGGGAAGAACCATTGATGACTCTCCACCTTTGGATCTAGTTGTACAAAATTCCTTGAACCACTAACAATTTCCAGGAGAACCAATCCGAAACTGTAAACATCGGCTTTTGACGTGATAGGGTCTGGCCGTGTCCATTCTGGTGCCATGTACCCTGGGGTTCCACGCATTCGTGACACACTCATCATGTCTTCTTTCTTCTTCAATTTGGCCAGTCCAAAATCTGATACCTTTGGGCAAAAATCATCCCCTAAGAGAATGTTTTCGGGCTTGATGTCACAATGTAGAACCCATTCCAGACACTCTTCGTGCAAATAGGCTATTGCCCTTGCCACACCCAATGCGATTCTATACCGGATATTCCAATCCAATATTGGCTTCTTCTTTGAACCAACAATTTCAACTGTTTCTTCCTCCGTTTCAGATGATTCCACCACCTCAACAGTTTGAAATAAAAACTCATCTAGCGAACCATTTGGCACGTACTCATATACTAGTATCCTACTACCCTTCTCAGCACAAAATCCCCATAGCCTGACCAAATTGAGGTGGTGCATCCGGGCAATAATTGTGACCTCCGCCCAAAAATCAGCATCGCCTCCAGTAATATTCTTCAGGCTCTTCACTGCCACCACACGTCCATCACTTAATTCTCCCCTGTAAACCACACCAAAACCACCCTTCCCAATGGGATTTGTAAAACCTTTAGTTGCAACTTTAAGCTCAGCATAGCTGAACCTTTTTGGTCCACCAGAAGGCATAACTTCAAGGCCAAAGGTCCTGGCCATATCCCTATACTTGATGTACTTCTTGAGAAATGTCCAAAAGAAAAACACACCACTAAGAAGCTCTGCTGCAAACAGAGTTGAAATTATGGCAATATTCCTAGTGGTTGTGGTAGACTCTTCTGGGGGTAAAGGGAGGCTTATTCTAACTGGACATGTAGTTTCCATCAAATCAGTCATGCCAGTAAAATTTGATTCATCTTCTTCAGATTTATCAACCCTCAAGTACATGACAGTCTCTGTACCTGGAGACCAATATCCAAAAGACATCTTGTCCAGTATAACACAATAATTTGTTCCATCATATTTAAACAAGAAGCCTAAGCATTTCGGATTAGCCAAACATTGTGCTTCACAAGTTGAAAAATTCCTCGTCTTAATGTCAGTTTGGTTTAACCCTCCAGTAAAATTCACAAAATCTAAACGCAAAAACTTGCTGTTTCCCATTATTGGCTTTTTTGGTTCACACGAATCATTAGGCCCTCTTTTGTACCCCGGAGGGCATATACACGACGTAGAAAGATCTGTAACATTAAACATACATATAGAGTTTGCACCACACGTACCGTGAATTGTACACAGCTGAAACAAAGCTTGCCAGCCAGTAGACCATTTCCCTGAGCTTGGATCATAGCTGTATACCCTAAGATTTCCATCTTCATCGAGTGTCAATCTTCTCAACTTCCTTTCACCATAATCCGAAGAATAGTATATTTGATTATTTTCTTGCATAATGATCCCCGAATCATCCAACATAAGAAAATTCTGACCCACAACACTGGTCCAGTAAGTATCATTTTCTGGCACAAAAACAAGCTTTTTGGTCTCAAACTTGAACTTCCCATTCTTCGTAACAAGTGTAGACCCATTAATACTCTGGTTTGGAAGAAAAGTATTAGTTGGGATCGAAAAACTATCCCAATTTCCATAAACAAGCTTCCCAGAGGCCTGTAGAGTAAGCTCAGATCCATTCGTGCCCGAAGCAGGCCACAGGTTTTGCCCACCGGTAGAATTGATCAAGCGCAATTCGCCAGAGCGCGTAATGATCAAAGAACCCGAGCTGCCCACCGGAGACTTATCATTCGCCGACCAGACGACGGTGGTATTTCCCGATATGTTATGGTACCAAACAGAAAAGGTGTAGAGATTTGGAGAAGTAGGTAGTTTGAAAAAACCTGCAGCAAAAGTGGAGTTGGGGGAGAGGAGAATTCTGCTTTGTGATGGAGTCCATGGGGAGATGGAGATTGAAAATGAAGAAATATTTTGCTGCTGTTGGGATGTTGAAAACTTGAGATTTGAGATGAAGAAGATGAAGAACAAAACGAGATTAAAATTGAAAGACATGATCGATCGTGTGCAAGGAATTTGATTGAAGGTGTTTGTCTTTGATTCAAGCCGGCTTTTGAAGGCTATTCGTGCGTTGACGCAAGGCCGTTGACCATGAAGCCGTGCCCATTGCGTCATAATTTAATAAGGTGTGGGGTCTATAGAAGTGGCATTATCCTATCCTATAATGTAATGCAAACATTTTAACATCTTGACTTTACATCCCCAATATAAAACAAGCCAACTTTTATTGACTTAATTTCACTAATAATCATGAACTTCAAGAGAATTTTAATATTAGTAATTAAAGAATTTTAGTGTCCAAAATAGTCACCAAAGTTAATAATATTACATTAATGATTCTTAAAGCAATCGATTCCTTCTAACTGCCTTCATATTTTAGTTCTTTTATGACATTTTTACTGTTTCTTAAATGAAGTGATTTTGGATTTTTTTTGGCTAAACAATTTTTTCTCATACGAATTCCATTTTCTTTTGAACATTGACACAATTATTATAAGTCGATGTTAAGTTTTAACGGGCCAGCATCGGGTTTTTCTTTTGAATACCTTCTTTGGAATGAACTCGAACGGATCAACATAAATAGTCACTCAATTCCGTCAATACCAACTCGTACAAAAACTTAAGTGCTTATTTTACAACTACAAAAACAGAGTGACCAAAACACGGCATATACCCAAACAGGCTCGAAAATGTGGAATTGAAGTCAACAAAGTAATGCATGACTTGAGGTTAGACCGGATAAATATATATTTATTTATCTAAAAGTACGTATGGAATAAGAACTCTTTCCAAAAATAATTTTCAAACAAAAATTAAGATAATTTCTTCTAAAATCTCTTCTACAAATAGTAAAGTATAAGTAAAAATCATGTCAAACGGACTCTAAAACTTGCCATGACCAATTCTCCGCACCATCGAACCATTTTCACTTGGCACTCAAAATAATGAAAAAGTATAATGCACCCACAACTTTATTGCATTAGTCCAAGCAAATCGTGGAAAATTTACAGAAATTAACTTAATTCAAAGGACAATTCAATCAGATGAGCATCGAGTCATTTTCCGTCTTTCTCATGTCATGTTCGTTCCAGAAGGTGTGGGGTCTGTGGACCAAACAAATGAATGATTTTCCTCAAATGTAAGTAGAAATGTCATAAGACGGACAAGATGAAGAGAGTGTCTAGACCAGTAATCCAAGTGTCGTCGTATTTTAAATATTATTTTAGTTATTCTAGACCAACACATAAGTTGAAAATTTATAGAAACTTAATACACACTTTTCAACAAAAATATAATTCTCAAAATCATGAATACTGAAATTATTTAATAACAATTTTCTACAATTAGATTAGCCTAAACCATGTTTCACTCTTTGCTGATGGCGAATAGATAGTCATAGAAGATTTGAAACATAAACTGGAGAAAGAAACAAGATGAACAAGGATGAATATTGTTTTAATATTTTTTTTTTTCTCTAATTGCTCTTGAAAGAATTTTCTTCTCTTTAATCCCTTCTTTTCCGAACTTCGATTTTTCTCCTGAATTTTTTTCTTTCGGACTTGTGAATCTAGGCGTTGCCTAGTGGCGAAATGAAGACAGAGCACTTTACTTTGACAATAAGTGTGATCAACTGCTCAGTTGACAGCATAATGAGGCGCTCTTTATTAAATGTTTTCCCCTTTTCCTAAAAACTTTGTATTTGACTTTAATTTATTAATTTTTTTTATAGAGACTTTTATTTGAATTTTTTTTCAAGATTTTAAATGATTTTATCTGTACAAAATTTAAAAATAATTTTACCTGATAAAAATTTAGATAAGATTTAAATTACGGTACTATCTATATAATGTAATTATGATTTTGAGGCGTTGAACTTTTGCATTTCGAAAACGTGAAAATTTTATTATTGACTACTTGTTGATATAAAATTTATTAATTTTAGATATTTGGCTTGTATTATCTTAATTATTAAATAATTTTTAAAATAATTAAGTATTTAAAATAATAATAAGTAACGTTTTTTTCGCTTAGATCTCGCTTCATAAAGTTTGAAGTTTGGCCTCTACGTTTAGTCACGTTTTACGCTTTTTAGAACACTGTTATTTATAGAGAAGTCTTGAAACTATCATTTTTAGTTTATTTTACTTTATTTTAAATACATTTGTGAACTTTTAAAATAGGATGGACTTCTTATAAAAATGACTAGTAATAGACTTACGCCTTAATAAACTTTAATGATTTTTTTTTTTTTACAAATATGATTCTTTCTTTCAAAACTCAATTTTATCTTCCAAGTTAATTCATTATTTTTTGAGTTGTGACTTCAGGTTAAGCTCAAGCACACCTAATTAGGCAAATGGTGTATGGAATTTTAGGAGTTTTACATTCTACGTTGCTTAAGTGGTCAGATTTTAGGGGGGTGCACAAGCAGTGGAACATGTGATTTAATTAGTATTGAATTTTCTTTCGAATAAGACCTGAAAGAAGAATAAATGTAGGAACGTCAATAGGCGCCCGATATTTCTACCACACAAAAAAAGTTAAGATAGGAAAATTCCTATAAAGTTAAGCTAGGCTTAAGGTTTTAACGTTAAGTTCTAAACGGACCCTTAAAACAAGACCAACTTGAATTAGTAACATTCAAGAAGTACATTTTGAGTGAGTTTAAGGGTGATAGATCCCCGAGTTTCACAGGGACGGTGAATAAGAAGTTGGAGATAAAAATTAATAGGTGGGATAGATTCAAACTTGGTACTTCAATCAAATCAAAACAGACAAGAAGTTTGTTAGTTCCCTTCTAACCAAAAGACAAGGTCAAATGTAGTAACCAACCCATATACTTGGCACCTTATTTTTATTACAGCTGCCTCATGTTTTGGGGAATCTGTTAGCCAAATGTATGTTAAATGTCCAAATGGAAACCGCTGGCCATGTCCTAGAAACAAGCTAAACCGTGTGGAACATTCAAAACTACAAGCAATTTTAGTAAAAAATACGAGAAACAAAGGAAGACAACAAGGCTAGGGAGATGAGGCTGTGGAGAAGGGCTTCCGCAGTGTTGAAGGATCAAAATAGCATCTGGATCGCCAGGCTGTCGAGGCGGACGGCACTCCGGAATCCCGACATTGAATCGGCCGTCATAAAAGCCACCAACCACGACGAATTCTCTATTGATATTAAGAATACCGATAGAGTTTTCAAATGGATTCGTCTCTCGACTTGCCATGTCAAGCCTCTTGTTTGGTCCATATCGAATCGGATGGAGAAAACAAGAAGTTGGGTGGTGGCTCTTAAAGCGTTGATTCTTATGCATGGCGTCATTAACTGTAATGTCCAGGCCGTTCAGAAAATTGGAAGGTTGCCATTTGATCTGTCAGATTTCGCAGACGGGCATTCTGATCCAGGGAAAACATGGGCACACAACTCGTTTATACGTCAATACTACGCGTTTCTTGATCAGAAATCGATCATTATTTATCAGAATTTCGAGGAACGCAAAGCACAGAAAATTGTTTCGATAATTAAAGAGCTTCAGTTGCTGCAGAAGTTGCAAGGTTTGCTTGATTTGTTGATGCAGATTAAACCAAAGTCAAATGCAACCAGGGTCCCTCTTGTGCAGGATGCAATGGATGGAATTATAATTGAGATTTTTGACATTTACAGCAAAATATGTAGAGGGATTGCCATCATTCTTGTTAATATTTATTCTGCTAATAAAGCCGAGGCAACAATGGCACTCGAACTTGTGCAGAAGGCGAAAGCCCAAGGCGACGAGCTTTCTTTATATATCAAATTCTGCCAACAGATCGGGGTAGTCAATGCATTAGAATTTCCCATGGTTGAAAAAGTCCCAGAAGACGGAATCGAAGAGCTTGAGCAAATAATAATTGGATTATCAGAGTCTGAGAAATCCGTTATGAATGAATTGGGGTCGAAACAACAGGAAGACACATCAATTGTTATCGTAGATTCTGAAAATTCCAATGAAGGAAAAGCCTCGAAGAAAGCAACTATAATCACCGATAAATGGGAAAATTTTGAAGAAGATCTAATGATAGTCAGCCAAGAAAATCCCTTCTCCGCGTCTTGGATTACACCTGTGCTTCATTCAAAGATAAATAATCAAGAACAGCTTCCAGATTTGATCAGCTTCTAGTAATCTTTGAGCAGGGTTTGCATTCCATTTGAAGAGCCTTCTCAATTGTCTCAGAAACAAAAAAATATTTAAAGAATTGAACAAAATGCAAAATAACCGAGAAGGTGATCCCATGAGGAAATGCTTAAATTTTCAAATGAGAAATTTTATTGTTTTTTCAATTCTAACCATTTATAATTTTTGTGGATCAAGTATTATATTTTGTGATAGAATTTGGATATGGCCCGAATTATTTGTTTAAGATAATTTGAAATTTTAATTAAAGTGCATGTTAAGAAGAATTCTATTTGAAATGTTATTGTGAAATTCTATTCAAGTTTATTTGGTGAATTTTAATTGAAATTCTACTTGAAAGCTCATTAGAAGTATGGATTTATTTTTTATAGTAAGAGGACATTGTAACGAACAAAATCAAGATTTTTGGAAGAAATAACCCGAAAGTGGGTGCCGTGGCGCCACGACAATTTTGGCCCCACGCCGCCCTGTCCGTTCGCCTCTTGCGCGATTTTTTTTGTTATTTTCCGTTTTGGACTCCATTTTTTACATTCTCCTTCAATTACAACTCCACTATAAAGGTCTGAACGTCTCCTATTTGTTCCTATATATATTTAACTCTTCATTGTATTTTAGAAGAAGTTAGATTAAGTTAGACAAATCATAAACACACAATATTTGTATTCTTTCTTCATATTATAATAAAATCTCAATTATCTACAAAATTACATTGTTCTTGTTTTTTTGTGCGATCAATTACTCCATATTGTACTTAATCTCTTTTTTTCTCACGACAAATTGGTATTAGAGTGTTCCAGTTTTCATGACAATTGGTATAAGAGAG